ACAATCAACAGCCAATGTGAAGAACATAGTGTCTATACAGACACTGCATTGCTCTAACTACACCGACATAAGCCCTACGCTTCTCGTGGAAGTGGAGTTGTTATGTTGGTGTAGTAGGGCACTTACATCAGCAGGAGCAAGGCTGTAGTGTAGACACTAACTGCCTTATGTAGTGTAGACACTACGCTGCCTTATATCAACCTAACTCTGTAGCGTAGACCAAGCCTTAGAAAGGCCAAAGCACAAAATGAGATTAAACTAGAAATAAATAGGATGAAATTCAATAAGGATAAATGCAAAGTACTCCACTTAGGAAGAGACAATCAATTGCACACATACAAAATGGGAAAAGACTGCCTAGGAAGGAGTACTGAGGAAACGGATCTGTGAGTTATAGTGGATCACAAGCTAAATATGAGTCAACAGTGTAACACTGTTGCGGAAGGAAAAGGGGGAAAAAAAAGCAAACATCATTCTGGGATGTATTAGCAGAAGTGTTGTAAGCAAGACACAAGGAGTAATTCTTCCACTCTACTCTGCACTGATAAGGCCTCAACTGGAGTATTGTGTCCAGTTCTGGGCACCACATTTCAGGAAAGATGTGGATAAACTGGAGAAAATCCAGCAGAGAGCAACGAAAATGAATAAAGGTCTAGAAAACACGACCTGTGGGGAAAGATTAAAAAAAAATTGGTTTATTTAGTCTGGAGAAGAGAAGACTGAGGGGCGGACATGATAAGTTTTCAAGTACATAAAAGGTTGTTACAAGGAGGATGGTGAAAAATTGTTCTCCTTAACCTCTGAGGATAGGACAAGAAGCAATTGGCTTAAACTGCAGCAAGGGAGACTTAGGTTGGACATTAGGAAAAACTTCCTAACTGTCAGGGTAGTTAAGCATTGGAACAGATTGCCTAGGCAGGTTGTGGAATCTCCATCATTGGAGGTTGTTAAGAACAGCTTAAATAGACACCCGTCAGGAATGGTATAGTTATTATATAGTCCTGCCTTGATTGCAAGGGACTGGGGTAGATGACACTTGTATGGTTCTATCTATAAATGGCAACTTCTTACTCAATAGATGTGCTTCCTAGGTGTATCCAGAGCTATACATTCTTTCCTTCCAAATTTTGGACTATCTGAAAGCATTTATTTTAAAACAGCACTGGTCAGGCTGGATGTCCTCAAACTAGATCTTTCAAACTTTATTTTGAGTGGTGGAGATGACAAGTTCAGGGTTCATGTGAATTTCAGTTCCCTGCTCAAAAGAAAGAAGCAGACAGTCTTGGATTGTCAGCACAATTTTGGTAACAAAGTTTAACTTCCATTTCCTGTGCAGCAGGAGAACAAAGTTCATGTGTTAGCAGTGACTTCTTGTAGTTCCTCATGGGAGACTGTAAAGCATAAAAAAAAACAAAAAAAAAACCCCAAAAACTAAGATAGAGAAAATCCAGAAATTGTTCCTTACAAAATCAGATGGTGCAGTGCTACTCCCTTGGCTCTGCAACTACTTCCTTATGTTGACCTGCAGTCAGGTACAACTTCTCTCAACTGTTAACTGCATGCTAGTTAGTCTGCTGCAGCACAGGGCCTGCCTGACTTGCTGCCTTTGCCCCTGTCTCTCCCTTGCTGCTTTTGTTCCTTTCTTTCTGCCAGGGAACCTCCCCAGTGGCCACGAAATACTAGTTTCCCCAATCCTTCTCCCCTTGAACATACCGAAGAAAACCCATGAATGAAGGAAGGGGTCAAAGTAGGTCAAATTTTGGGCCTTCAAATAGGATGATATTTTTCTGTAAACACTGCTATCCTGGTATGGTAGCGCTTTAGGAATATGAATGAAAGACCTCGTCCACACTACAAAGTTAGGTCGATGTAAGTCACCTTGCGTCAGCCTAGTTGTGCATGTGTCTATGCTCTAATTTGTCTGCTGCCGATGTAAGTGCTCCATTACAGCTACGCAGTAGCACCATCTCCCTGGGTGGCAATGAGCCATGGTCAACGTCCTGTGGTTGATGCATTGTGATTATAGACACTACATGGCCTATATTGACTGTAACAATCCTCCAGCAACTGTCCCACAATGCCTGACACTAACTGCTCTGGTTACAATTGTGAGCTCCACTGCCCAGGGGTCACTGAGACTGGAAGCCACCCTCTCTCACTTTATAAATCCTTTGTATTGTTGAAATGCCATTTCCTGATTGTGCAGCTTGGCAAGCACACCTATCAATTCTCCCTTGTGTGCAGCTGCTCAACCGACCATGACAGCTATACGATCCAGTTGTGCTCCTGCTTGAAGTAGACAGCAGGTATTGGGCCTGTGAAAAGAAGAGGCTCAGCAAACCCAGCTATGGAGTAGTCATGAAAATGGGGAAATCTATGAGCAGATTGCCTGGGGGATGCAGGCAAAGGGTTGTGACAGGAAGCAGCAGCAGTGCCATGTGAAAGCAAAGGAACTGCTGCAGCCATACCAGAAGGCCAATTGTTGATCTGGTGCTGAGCCGCAGACCCGCCGCTTTTACAACTGAGATGCATGCCATACTTGGCAGAGACCCCACCAGCACCCCACAGAGCATAGTGCACATCTGCGTGGAGGCTGTGAGACACCTGTCGTGAACAATTGGGAGGAGGAGGAACAGGAGGAGAAGGATGGGGGTCATGCGACAGGGGTGTCCAGCTTTGCCACCAGTGAGGATTTATTTAAGACTTCACTGCAGTCTAGTCAGTCCTGGGAGCTGAGCACGATGCAGGGGATGGAACCTCGGGTAAGTGTGTGAATGCATTCCCCAGTACAATATTTAAATATACAGATGGTGCCCGACCCCAGTGTAGCAGGACACATGTAGTGACTTTTCATTAATTTACTCATACTAGAAGATACAACAGACAGAAGTAGAGTTATCTGCTTTCTTTCTGCTGTAGAGTTAGTTGGGGAGGGGCATGCAGAGCACTTTGTTTATGTGCACAGGGATGTCCCTTGAATCCTCCTTAGAAACTTTCGTGGAGGTACCCTGCAATCGTCTCCCAAAGTTTTCTAGAGCTGCCAGTCTTATTTCTTCCCCCACGGTAGGACACTTTCCCACACGAGTCTGCAATGGTTTTAGTATTACTCCTGGGGAAATTCTGCGCAACCGCAATGCAGCAGAAAAATACTCTCCCCGTACCCCAAAAGATTTCCTTTGTTTCCTTGCAGAAAATGGTTTCTGTGGGGAAGCAAAGAGAAGCTGCACCAGTACTCACTCACCCCTCCCTGGCAGCTCAGATGCGTCTGGGCAGCTGGGGGGCAAGGGAGAGGTAAATCACGGGGGGGGGGTTGGGGATGCCCTGGCTGCCCAGGGACATTAGTCCCAACTGGTGGGGGTGGGGGGAGGGAAGGATAGAGATGGTGTTCCCCCTCCACCTTCCCTGCATGGAGAAGCCAGGGCTGGGTCAGATAAATCCCCAGAAACTTCCCCTGGCTGCAGGAAGCTCTGCACCACGGGGGTGGGATGGGAGGGGTGAGGCTCAGGGTGGGGGGTGTTCCAGGTCGAGGGGGTGGGTGCAGGGGGTTCCAGATGCACAAGGGTTGGGTGGACAGGGGGAGCAGCTCCCTGTACAGTGACCCCCCCCCGCAACTGCAACCCCTGCCCCCGCATCAGGAGCCCCCAACACCCAGACCCCCACCCCACTGATCCCCAACCAGCTGCACCCTGACCCCGTATCCCTCCAAGGGGCAATCCCTCAGCCCCCCTCCCCGAGCCCATTCTACCAGACCACATTACTGTGGCTGACTGTTACATTGCTCTTTCAAGACCTCCCTCAGCTGCATAGCTCTGCATTGAGCTCTTCTAATAGCACTTGTGTTAAACCTAGCAGACAGCTGCTCCACCTCTGCCCTCCACCCCAGTGGCAGCTTTTCTTCCTTTGCCTCACAGGTATTATGCAGGACACAGCAGGCAGTTATAATCATTGGGGTATTTTTCTCACTAAGATCTAATCTTGTGAGTAAACACCGCCAGCGTCCATTCAGTCTAACAAAATCATATTCAGCTGTCATTCTGCACTTGCTGAGCCGGTAGTTAAATCTTTCTTTGGTCCTGTTGAGGTGGCTGTTGTACAGCTTCATGAGTCTGGGGAGCAAGGGATGGTCTGTGTTCCCCAGGATCACTGTTTGCATTTCAAAATTCCCAATGGTAATCTGCTGGTCAGGAAAGAATGTTCCTCCTTGCAGCTTTCCGAACAGTTCTGTGTTCTTAAAGATTACTCCTGGGGGAATTCCTTACCACTGTATGCACGCAGAATTCATGTCCCACACAGATTTCTTTGCTTCCTTGCAGAAAAATGAGGAAGCAATGAAATCTGCAGGGGACACACGCTCCTTCCCCAGCAGCCCAGGTGCGTCTGTTCAAGCACCCAGAGTAGCTGGCGGAGACGTAAATCAGCACGGTGGGGGGAGGGGGCATGCATACATGGGGAGATGTCAGTTGCTGCCGGGGGTGGGGTGGGTGTGCATGCATACGAGCAAGAAAGACTCCCTCTCAACTGGCTAATGCTTTGGGTTGTTTGGAAGTAGGCATGATGCAGGCTCTGTCACCTCAGGCGGAGCAGAAAATGTAGCAGCCTGCCTGCATAGTTGTTAATGTTGCATCTGAAGAAGTGAGGTTTTTTTTACCCACGAAAGCTTATGCCCAAATAAATCTGTTAGTCTTTAAGGTGTCACCGGACTCCTTAATGTTCCTATTATTAGTGCATTGTTCCCATTCTTAGTCAATTCCCCAAGGAGCACAAAACGCATGTAAAAGTTTTAAGGCTCCTTTACATCGCCAGAGTGGTGTAAACAAGCCTTACTGTAAATGACAATAAGGGAATCCTCAGATAGGAAAATCTATGCGCTTTCTCACTTTTGTCCTGTGCCACAGTGGTATAGTGGGGTTAGATTACAGCTCAGGATCTATTTTAATTACCCATTTAAAAAAAAAAAAGACTTTGAAAGCAAATAAAACATTTATCAAGCAGTCAATAAAATGTCAGGACAGTCAGAACCAAGCACTTCCCAAAGTAGCCAGCCATGCCCAGATGTAGTTACTAAAGGGCAAAGGGATATTTGCTCTTTTGCACAATGTGAACCGTCTTCACATCATGCATCAAAAACAGCTACAGCAGCTTCTCGTGCTCAAGAATTTCCTACAAAACTGCATGTGGATGGGGACAAATTATTTTGCACATCCTGCAATGTTGTTCTCAATCATGACCGATGGTCTGTAATTGTGGATCATTTTGCATCAAAAAATCACAAACTGAAGGAAGGTGCGGCTCAAGAGGAAGGCAGAAACAAACACCTGAAAATCATTACAAGTACACTGAAAAACAAAACACAGGCGGAGAAAGAATGTGTGGAGGTGAGTGGAAATATGAGAAAATGTTATAATACAGAAAAATAAGATAAGTAGCTTAGAAGAGCTATAGCGATAGAGTCTCTTTGCTTGCTCTGAGCTCTTGAAGAGAGAGCTTGTTTTTAAACTTTTTTTTTTAAAGTGATGACTATGGTCAGTTTTCTGTTGATACATTCTACACTATGGAACTTTTGCACTTTTACGTGATGTTTTACAGTTAATTGTAATTTAATCATGCATTTTTGTGATTGAGTGCGAGTCTCCTTGGATATAGAGGCATAAACCAAATAACTAAATATTTGTGTGTGTGTGTGTGTGTGTGTGTGTGTAATCGTGATCATTTACTATAAATCTAAATTAAAATCTAGAAATTCAGAACTAAATATAATATGAATACATGTATTAATATAAGATGAAAGATGTTATGTGGATAGTAAACATTTGTGCTCACTCAAGATTTATCTAACTTTTACTTTCAGATTTGTACAGCATGGGCGAAGACACTAGCAGATGCCAACATCCCCTTGTCAAAGATAGATCACCCCCTTGTGAGAGAATTTCTTGACAGCAGGTCTGGAATGGTGGTGCCATTCCTGGTAGGACACAACTGACTGAGACATACTTACCTGATGTGTACCTCAAAGAAAAGGAAAACTTAAAACTGAAGCTTAAAGACAAGAAAATCACTGTTATCTTTGATGCATGTTGTGATGATGAGACAAGATCAGTTAATTAGAACCTGATTGCAGTGGGCATGTTAACTTTTTTGTTAAGTTTTTCACTGTACGATTTGATCCTTTCTGACAGAAGGAAAGTGAGAAAAACTTGAAGGCTCTTTGTTTTCTGTACTGTAATTTAAATGAAAATACTGAATTTATACTGAAATGCAGGACGATTAGCAAAAATTTAAGACTTTCATGTGTGAAAGTCTGAGCAATTTAAAATGACATTCTACTTTATTTTGCTGTTTGGTGTTCTGTAATGTAATTTAAATGATAACCCAGGATTATAACTGGAATGCAGGGTATTGGTTACCAACTATTTGTAACTTAACTTTCATGTATTTAGGAAATGCTGAATAGTTGTGATTTTTTTCTGTATTGTAGTTTAAATAAATTACCCAAATAATTGAAACTTTCATGATTTATATTGCATTATTTTGACAAATAAAATATGCAGAATTTTTAATTTTTTGGCACAGAATTCCCCAAGGAGTAAAAGATGCCAGTGTCATGCATTTTTCCTGACCAGCTTACACTGATGTCAGCGACACATGCCTTGTGCACAACCATAGAAAAGTAGCCCTTTCTGTTGATGTACTCTGTGGCAAGGTGGGCTGGTGTCAAAACAGGGATATACGTGCCATCTGTTGCCTCACCACTGTTTGGATTTGCAGCAGTGAGGTTCCCATCTGCTATTTCTTGCACATTTCCTAGAGTCACAGTCCTGCATAGCAGGCGACGATTAATTTACCCTGCATGCTTGCATGACAACAGCCCCCAATGTGGATTTTCAAACTCCAAAATGATTTCCCACTGACTAGTAGCAATCCTGCTTTGCAAGCTTCCCAAGTGCCATCACCAGTCTCTTCTCAACTGTTAGCGCAGGTTTCACTCTGGTGTGCCTGTGTTGGAGGCTTGGCAGACAGATCTGGTCATTTGGCCTTTTGCATTCAGAAGCTCTGCAGCTACTGCTCATCATCCCAAACCTACATTACAATGTGATCCTGCCAGTCAGCACTTGTTTCTTTAACCCAGAAGTGGCATTCCACCATCTGCAGCTGCTCTGTGAAGGCCACCAACAGCCTTGAATTGTTTTCGCCTAGGTCAAAGAGCAATCTGTCCTCTACAAAATTGTCACGTCCCCCCTTCCTGTGGTTTTTCCTACTGCTCTGCAAATATCAGAGGCTCATTCATCCTATGTTTTCAATGCTCATGACAGTGCAGAGCTGTGCGGGCTCCATGCTTCTGTCAGAGATGATGGACAGTGAGAAGTGCCACAAAGCTTCTGGGGATTTTAAAAAAAGGCAGGAAAATTGAGATATGGATGGCATTATGAGATGAAGTGAGTTGCATGCTGGGAACTTGACTTCTTGCTCACAGTCACCGTTGTGTGACTCATTTCTGCCCTACCATGCATTGCCAAAAGTTGCCAAAAGACAGTGTGCCAGAAGATGGCAAGCTGCATAGTAGAATACCTACCCATAGTGCACCACACTGTGTATTGACACTAGCATTCCTTGTGAGTATGTGCAGCACCGATACAAGGAACCAAGTATACATGCACATGAGCTATATACTGACTATGGCGGTTTTAAGCCAACTTGTGTCAACAAAGTTTGTAGTTTAGACATGGCCAAAGAGGCTAGACTATGAGGTAATGAATGGAAGCTGGGCACGTGGAGGAGAATGCTCACTTGTTTAAGGAATCATCTTACACAATGACATTGGGAGGCTGAGATAAATGTGAGATGTTCTTTCTATGGTTAAAGAGCTTTTTTACCTTAGCCTCCTGTGATATTTTCATCAGGACCAGTCAACTTTTTGACAACATTGAGCATTTGTAGTTAGTTCTGGCTCTGCAAATGTTTCCATTACTGTTTTCTGAACTCCTTTCAGACTGCTGGCCAAGTAACCTCTCAAGTAACCATGTCCAGCAGTTCCCTTACATGGAATCTCAGTATAGCTTTTTAGCAGGTTACTTTTATGGTAGTATCATTGCTCATGAAAACAAGAAGGTAGCTTTAGATTTCACTGTAAATAATATCGGCCTGCATCAGAGTATTGAAAAACCAATGATAATGCTGATGTATGTTTGAACTTGACCAGGATCTGGGCTTGGTACTGATGTTAGCTCCATCTGTTGACTATAGCCAAGGAAATCATACTTGCATCTAACTCCCCTTTTGAATATCCAAAGCATAAGACCAAGGAGACTATGAGACAAGGAAGATTAGACATAGATCAGCAAACTGCAGAAGTTACAACTTATTGCCTTAATAAATTGCATCCTCTTGATTACTGACTAAGTAGACTTATCCTCTGCTTTTGCGCACAGTGACATTTTAAAGGAGATATTATCAACCTGTATAGGCTTAATTTTTTCACATTTATCAAGATAGATGCCAGAAACAAATTAAAATTACAACTGAGGCCTTGTCTACATTTTTTTTTCTTTTTCTCTTCCTCCATTCCTCCCCCTTTGGTAACCTAAGATGTAAATTTAAACTGGTGTGCATTTAAACTAGTATCACTCCTCATGAGGGTGCTTCTATTACAGTGTACAAGTGTCTTTTTTCAGTTTAGTTTGTCACTTTGTAAGGCGTTTAAGCTAAACTGTAGCAAGGCATTCACACTAGAGTTAAGGGTGTCTGGATTTGGGGTGGAGGGACAGGTTTGTTACACTGCTATAGTTATACTCGTATAGATATATTAGTAAACTGGTAAAACTTTCCTGTGTAGATAAGGCCTAATTGTTTTCTGTTTTAATCCTAACAATGCACCGTCCTAAAAAAAATTCCAGGGAAACTCCCCACATCTCACCAAAACAACAAACTGTTTACAACTTTCCTTTCCTTAATCAATAAACCCCACAGTGCCTGCTTGAACTCATGAACGTGTGGTCCACCCCAGGAGAATAAAAATATAAACACAAGATGCTATTTTTGTGTAGTTAGAGGCTTGTGGTATATCCTTGAATATTTTTAAACTGGAATATTAGGAAGATAAAAATGAGTACTTTAGGTGTCAGTTCTTCTCGTAAATTGCTTCTGGGATCTTCTTTCCTGCTAGTAGTTTAAAAAACATACAAACATCTGCCTTGTCTTTTCATTTTGCTATCTCTTCAGGTGTGTTTTTGAAAAAGGAGAACGTATGCTGTCAGCTGTGAATTCAGACTAAGGTGGGAAAGAGCTCTCCATAAGTGTGGGTTCAGTCCAAAGGACTCACTATCCACACTCGTTTATACAGTTGGAGGGGACAAACTAACATTTAGTGCCATGCTTCTTTCTCTGACAGACACTATTCCAAAATCGATTTTTCCTACTTCAGTTCTATCCTACAAGGCGCACAGAGCTTGGCAGGTGTTGAGCCTCCAAAATGCCAACTGATTTCAAAGAGAGTTGAGGATTTGTAACACCTTACAAGAGGTGCTAAGCAACACCTCACAGGATCGGGTGTTTCAGTGGAGGAGAATGGTCTCTAGTGGTTATAGAACGAGGCCAGACTATTGGGGTCTATTGCCATCTCTGCAGCCGATTCACTGTGTGATGTTGGACAATTGGCTTAGCCTCTATATATTATTTGCTAATAGTTATTACTTCTAGGATGAGCAGAATTTTTAAAGACTGAAACCAATGCTGCTTTGTGAATTCACTGTCAGAGTGCGCTAGTTTACTAGTAAACTGTGATCCTGAGGTTCAAATAAGGCTTCTTTGTTGGATGTATGTGATCCTTTAACCTGCAGTTAGATAATCCTGGTGCCCACATCTCTTTTTATGGTAGTCTGTTATGCAAAGTTTTCAGGCCATTTGGTCAGAAATTTTTTTACTGCAGGAAATCAAATATAGTAAAAATCTTAAATGAATCAAACTGTAGGATAGAATCTCAATGGATAGAAATTCTATGCTTGAATAATAGCAGTAGGAATGTACAACCGACCACCTGATCAGGAGAGTGACAGTGATGGTGAAATGCTAAGGGAGATTAGAGAGGCTACAAAAACAGAAAACTAGATAACTATCCCTGTATTGACTGGTTCATGTCACCTCAGGATGGCATGTACAGAGAAAATTTCTAGTCACCATCAGTGACTGCTACTTAGAGCAACTAGTCCTGGAATCCTCAAGGGGAGCGGCAATGCTTGATTTAGTCCTAAGTGGCACACAGAATCTGGTCCAAGAGGTAAATATAGCTGAACGTCTTGATAATAGCAACCAGAATGTAATTAAATTTAATATCCTTGGGGGCGGGGGGATAACAAAGAAACCTGCCACAGTAGCATTTAAAAATATGAAACTGCAGAACTACTGACTGTGGTAAGTAACCTATCGCTTAAATCAGCCTCTATATCAAATGACTGGAGGATAGCTAATGTAACGTGGCTTTTTAATAAAGGCCCCAGAGGCAATCCTGGCCGGTAAGCCTAACTTCAGTACCAGGTAAATTGATTGAAATTATAGAAAAGAACAAGGTTACCAGACACATAGATGAGCATGATATGTTGGGGAAGAGTCAACATGGCTTTTGTAAAGGGAAATCATACCTTACCAATCTACTAGAATTCTTTGAGTGTGTCAACAAACTTGTGGACAAGGGTGATCCAGTGGATATAGAGTACTTGGACTTTCAGAAAGCCTTTGTCAAGGTCCCTCACCAAAGGCTCTTAAGCAAAGTAAGCAGTCATCAGATAAGAGGGAAGGTTCTCTCATGGATCAGCAAATGGTTAAAAGATAGGAAACAAAGGGTAGTAATAAATGATGATTTTTCACAGTAGAGAGAGTCGTGTCCCCCAGGGGTCTGTATGGGACCAGTACTGTTCAACATATTCATAAATGATCTGGAGAAGGGGGTAAATATTGAGGTCGCAAAGTTTTGCATATGATACAAAATTAGTCAGGATAGTTAAGTCCAAAGCTGACTGCAAAGAGTTACGAAGAGATCTCACAAAACTTGGGCAACAAAATGGCAGATGAAATTCAATGTTGATAAATGCAAAGTAGTGCACATAGGACAACATAATCATAATTATAGACACAAAATGATGGTGTCTAAATTAGCTGTTACCACTCAACAAAGAGATCTTGGAGTCATGGTGGACAGTTCTCTGAAAACATCTGCTTGATGTGCAGTGGCAGTCAAAAAAGCTAACAGAATGTTAAGAACCATTAGGAAAGGGTTAAGAACCATAAGACAGAAAATATCATAATTCCACTATATAAATTCATAGTGCGGCCACATTTGAATATTGCGTGCT